TATGCATTCAAAAGGTGCTCACTTCGGATAAGTGCTGTTCGGTCCGTTCATTCGACTCGGCAACTTTGGTCGGAGGGATGAGAAAAAGAGCCAAGGCTTCCCTTGCGGTCTGATCTCATCGGTAGTATTCCATTTCCTTTATTTTAGCCGCTGTGTGTATGGTTCTCGCTCTCTATGAAAACGCAATGCTATGAAACACAGATTGTATGTACCGAGCAAACGAGCGAGTGAGCGAGAGAGAGAGAGAGAGAGAAATGTGTACATATTCTCCGATATGCACGGAAAATGAAAATATTTGCTGTTGTTGTTTTTCGCTTTCTACTATACTAGTCCCGTGCAGCGTTTGATGAGCACTGCACATCATAACATTATGTATGTATTTTTTATGAGTTTCACATAAAATAAAATATCGTATTTTGTATTTAACTATGCGGAGAGAGAGAAAGAACGAACTTCACCGAGCACCCGAGCACAATAAAGTACACAGCAAAACCAAAAGGCAGCAACAGCAGCAGCAGCAGCACCAGCACCAATAGCATAGATATACCGAGAGATTCGCTTGCTCTCTCGCATTATATTTACGGCGCGTATAAATGCCATTTCGACCAACGAACGATTCAACGAATCCTCTACACCCTGATGATAATACCGCTTACATTTTTGTGTACTGCTGCTGCTGCTGCCGCTGCTGCTGCTGCGACTGTTAGACGAAATGGGACAGATAGAAAATCAAATGTGATTACTATTACACAAATGCTCGTTGTGCTCTATACGTGTGTACATTTGTTTTCTTCTTTGCTACCCGACTCTCTCTCTTGCTGTATTCTTTTCTAATGTAATGTAACCATTTTTCGCCTGGCATTTGTCGTCGTCGTCGCCGTCGTTGTTGGCGTATGGTTGTTGTTGTTGTTATTGTTGTTGCTTCCTTTTTCACGATAAATACACACAACACTGTATGTTGATATATATCTTTGTATAATTCAGAAATTATATCTCTGAATATTAAAGCAGTGTGTTTTGCAGGCAAAAGAAGAAGCTTGTGCCAAAACGAGAGAGAGAGAGAGAGAGAGAGAGAGAGAGAGAGAGAGAGCGAGATACCGACCGACCATACATTGTTGCAAACGGCCAACAAACAAAAAAAAGCCAATTTCTGATACATGCTAGCACATTGATTGCTAGTTGTTATTCTTTTTAAATACGTGTAAAGCGAGAAAATATTCGGCTTTGGGATCATTCTCAGTGTGTATATATGTATATATATTGCCACCGTCTTCGTCGTCGTCGTTGCTGCCGCCGCCACCGCTGTCGTAGTCATCGTCGTCGACGTTGTTGTCGTCGAATGACGATGGATTTGGCGTTGCTTATGCACGGTAAATTCAAGAAAATGGATAATGGTTCGAGCCTTTTTTTTTAATGGGCAAAAGAAGAGATGTGAGTCGAGTGTAGGGTGTGCATTGCACAACGCGCGCTTACTCATTCGCCTCCTCGTTTGTTTGGCACGATAGTGTTCGCTCGCTGAATGCGAAGCGCCAAAAAACGATCATTTCAAATATTAAATAAATGAAATATCCGGTAAAATTCAAAACTGCATACAAAATAACGATATTTATATATATCTATACGGTATGGCAAGAGCAAATGGGAATAAAAAGAAAAAGAAAAGCGAGGAGTGAGAGTTTGGAACAGAGTGGATGAGAAGGAGCACACAAATATACACACAGTTCGAACGCCCTACGATGAATTGAACACCGATAAGGACAAAGTTTTTCGGCTGTGGAGTGGTACTTGCTGGGGCGAGAAATGCAAAGAAAAGGCAATCGATAAACGCTCACATAAAATTTCGAAGAGAAAGAACAGTTGAAGATAAAACGAAATGAGACGACATTTAATTCTTCAACAACAACAAAAATGCTCGTTTTTCGTTTGTGTCGTTTTTGCTCGCTCTCTCTCTCTCTCTCTCTCTCTCTCACTCGCTCCCTCACTCATGCTTTGCACTGTGAGTGTGCATGGGATTGGATCCAATGGTTTCCAATGGCACAGTACAGAGCGCACAAAATTTCATATATTATATCATGTTATTTTATACACGCCATTCGAAAATATGTACACACTGGCTCTGGCTATATTTTTCTGTGTCTCTCAATTCTATTACTGTGAATACGATGTTGGTTGGTGCTGTTGCTGCCGCCGTTGATATTACAGTATAACGTTGCCGCTGCTGTTGTTGTTGTTGTTGCATTTCGGAGTATGGTGTGTGGTGTGTTGTGTTTTTTTTTTACTTCTTTTTCTCTCTCTTGCTCGTCTTTCCTGGTTTCGTCTTTAACTTTTATGCCTGTAATTCTGAATAAACAGCCATACACGTAAATATACTTCGTTCGAAATGAAACGCAAAGCAAAGCAGAGCTGAAGTGAACAGAGCTCAATACGATATATAAAATGGAAAAGAATGCCAGATATCGCCAAATGCGGATGCTCGAAAGAGAAGCGCTGAGATGGTGAAATGAAACATACAGCAAAGCAGATAAACAACAAAGACGAAACAAAGCCAACAACAAAACAACAACGGCAACTGTGCGACAACAACAAGAACAACGACAAGAATACTCGGCTCCTCTGCCTCACAGAGAATTCTCGGCTCACACATAGCACGGAGAGCACATACACTGTGTGTATATGAAGTTCGATACACACAATGTGGAACGGCAGAGTGAAAGAGATTCAAATAAAAAGCGAAAAATAATTCCGAATGAGAAGAAGTAACAACAACAGCAACATAGCTGCTAAGCATTTTATCGAAATATACATGCACATTAAATATACACAAGAGTACACCGAAAACTTTTCCTTTGCCTTTGCCTTTGTTCAGGCGCTTTTTTTGTGTTCTTTTTCTCTTTGGCCGTTATTATTTTTCTTTTTGGTGAAACGAGAGAGGCACACACACTCCGTGTGTATCGGGATATATATACGTGCGTTGTGCGTGTTCCTCTTCCAAATACAAGAAGACCAAATGTACGACGGATGAGGCAAGAGAGAGAGTCGCTCTAAATGAAAGCAGCAGCAGCAGCAGCAGCAACAAACAAACAAAATATATATACATCTATCCACGATTCGTATTCAGAACCGAGAGGCGAAAAGCGTAAGCCGAGAAGATGAAGACAAAAACGAGAAAGAAGAGAATGAGTAAGGAGCAAGAGCGAGACGGGTTACCACACGCGAGTATGGTATGTATGAAGAAGAATGAGAATCGAGAACGAAAGCAAAAACAAGCCAAGACAACAACAAAGTCGAACATAAAACCGAAATAAACGTATTGGTACTACGTAAAAGCAGAAAGGAGACTATGCAGAAAACACGCAGAGCACAGAGCACACGGGAGAGAGAGAGAGAGAGAGAGAGAGAAGATGAGTGTGTATATTTAATATTGTTCAGAAAGCATTCCCCACGATTCCACAGTAGAAAACCATCTTCAGCGTAATAATAAAACACATAGAGTAAACGTTGGTTGGGTCGTATAGAATGCGAACCGTCGATGATGGCATATAGCCTTTGCCGAGAACACATCGAGTGAAAACACAGTGAAGAGAAAAGAGAGAGAGAGAGAGAAAAGAAAGAATAGCGAATAACATACAGTGTCGAATACAAGGCAATATAGCAATGGCAAAGGCAAAGTAGCAGCAGCAGCAGAGAGAGCTGTGTATGAGCACCGAGCTATGGGAAAAGATACAACAACAAAACCAAGCCATTCAAAAGCATTAGAATAACGAACGCGCAACAAAAAGCGAATATAAAATATACATTGTGTGTGCGGTGTATTTCAAACCGAAAACTCTGTCGTATACTTTATTCTGTTTATTCCCTTTCGTTTCCCTTGCACGAACCAACCAAGAGAACCAACAAATGAACGAACGAACGAACGAATGAACGAGAGAATGAGCGTTTATAAAAACCCATGCTATAAAATACGGCGTATATTGCATCGCATCGATGTAGCGATACCATGGCTATAGAGGCAAACATCCAGCAAAGAGTCCCAACAACAAAAAGCAATGGCAACAACAACAACACGCGCAGCAACAACAAAAACAGCCAAAGCAGCAACAAACACACAGCACAGCACAGCGAACCACGTTCGAAACGATGAACGAACACATCGCGCGCACATCAGATTACGAGGCATTCGGTGCCTCGGATAAGAGAGACAAAGGCGAAAACGAGATGCCAGCATTTTCATATAAATATAAAACATCCATATGCCGTAAACAATGTTGTGTGTTTGGGCGTTCTAGCGCGCTCATTTGGTTCGAGTTCGAGTTTGAGTTTGAGTTCTCGGTGTGTGTCGGTGCCTCTCTTTCTGTCCGACACATTCCCATTGCCTGGCACTGTTAATATCACGGGCAGGATATACAACAATAACATTATATTTGCCGCCGAGAATGCGATGTGTTGTATGCCATCTCTACACACTCATCGTGTATTGGGGTTTATAAGCGCACAAACTGTACTTAAATTCTCTCATTCGCTCTCTCTCTGTCTATCTCTCTATACTCTAAAAATATATACGTATAGATACTATATGAATAAAAGCATTGGCAAGCTTCTATCCGAACCAAAAACCGTACAATAATACATAGATTGCTCTCTATAACGAAAACGTATCTATACCGTCTGTTTGCCCATGTTTTTGCCTCCCTGTCGAACCAGCGTTTGTTTTTGCATTGCCCCTCTCAGTCTCACCAATGCGCACCATTTACCCAATACGCGCTGTGTTTGCTACATTCATTCGTTCATTCGTTCATATGCCCATGCCATACAGAACTACCGAGCCAAATGTACGGAGAGAACAAACGAACGAACGAACGAACGAACGAAAAAAAAACAACACACAAAAACGAATGATGAAAAAACCGTACCCAGAGCTATAGCAATAGCATTTGTACTCAGCGCGCGAAGCTAATGCCGTGTATATTATTTGGTATGTACGAACCATTCCTCACCATGTTGTTCTATATAACTCTGGCATACGTATAATACTTCAGCGCTCTGAGTCTCTCTCTCTCACTGTTGTTGTTGTTGCATGGATGGATGTATTTTTTTTTCTTTTTATTTTGTTAGCATTCTCTCTGTATTCTTTCATGTTCTGTTCGCTGCCTTCATGTTGTATGGGCCCTCTCGGTTTTGCTGCTGCTGCTGCTGCCGCCGCCGTTGCCGCTGCTGTTGCTGCTGCTCACTGTGTGTATATGCATGTGTATTCGTACCATATAAATACATATTTGTTATAATATTATACGCTTTTACAGTGTCGCTCCGTTCGAACATCTCTACTCTCTACTAAAAACCTACTGTGTAGTATAATATGTTTGTCAGACAATACGCACGTACTATTTCAGTCTATGTGTAAAAATTTTCTGGTGTGCATTTGTGTATTTGTGGAAAATAATTGAAGGAAAAATTTATTAACGAAAAGAAAATAATAATCGAATAACGCGAATTGAAGCAAGATATCCATCAGCTAACGATTGACAATTTTCACGGAAAATCCTTCAGCAATTTTTAATTCAGCTAAATAACGAAAAGGTATCCATCACTGATCGACCAGTATACTCAATAACTTTTATCAATGGAGTATTATTATCAGATCCAGGTAAGTGAGCCAACTTTCGATTTTTTCTGTCAATTTTCCGTAAATTGACACACGAAATTTTGTGCATTTTTCCGACACGAAATATTTTCCGAATTCATTAAAATTGCCCGTAAATTTCAAGCGAAAAAAATTCAACAATTTTTTTCTTCGGTTTTTTTTTTTGATCGAATCAACTTCGTACGTCCATTTTTGTTCGTATTCATACCCGCGTCATTACAATTTGTTTACAAAACAAAAATATATGTACATATCTATGTATTGAAAGTCTTGTGCGACGGAAAACACGAAAATTTATGTGAAAATTCAACGAATTTAAAATGAAATAAATTAATCGAATAAATGTCAAAGACCATCGAATGCACAACGTAGAAATAATTTCGGCGATGACAAAAAAAAATCAACAATTGAATAATCGCGCGCGCGGACTATTTCAACGTACGAACCAAACCGTGTAGAAATACAATCGAATTTTTAGTTAAATTTTATGTGAGAAAAAAAAACCAAATGAAATCAAATAAAGCTTTTAATTTCAGCAAGTGTGGATTAAAAATAGAAAAACCAAAAATTGATTTACAAAAAAATAAATAAATAAATGTTCTCCAGAGAAAAAAAAAATAGGTGAATTTGTATTGAAACAAAAATGAGTCAAAACAATGTATTCGTTTTTATTCGCGAGAAAAATCACGTCGAAATTACGAATTGTGGTTTCCTGACATGCAAAATCGTGAACGAAAAAACAATAATTCGTTTTTTTTTTGGAAATTATAAGCAATAAGAGAGCGAGTGAGAGAGAAACAGAACAAGACACCAAAGAAAGTAGAAAAAAATACCGAAATTTTTTTATTTACTCATAAAAGTGTTGTGCTTTTTTTTTTTACTCAGTGCGTGTATGTGTGTATACAATTTTATTGAGCCGATTCTTCGTCATTTTTCACTTGTGGTCGCCATCTCTTTCATTCTCATTTTTTCGTTGTTTGCGGTGCGGTGAATGTTGAAATAAAAAAAAAACAGCAGCAGCAGCAACAACAACAACAGCAGCAGCAGCAGTAAGCATTATCGCGTTTGTTTGCAACAATTCCGTATAAATGCTCGGTTTTATGTGTACGTGCGTTTTATATTGTACAGTCGGGGCCATTCGATTCGATTTCTTCGACTCTGACTCTGGTTCGACCGATGTGTGTATGTGACATGCATGTGTGCGTTGTGTATGTGAGTGAGTGAGTGTGTATGTGCGTGCGTGCATGAATGAGTGATGATGATGGAAAAACAAACAGAAATGGTTTTTACTCTAGTTACTCATTTCCGCGCCGTTACTGTAACAATTATTCCAATTTGTTGTTCTTCAATGCAACCATTTTTTCCCCGATATCTATTCATTGTGGTGGATAGAGACCTTTTTCCCTCCCGACTCGTCGATTTGGATGACAATAAGCGCCAAAACGTTACGATATGTCCACGATAATAACGTCGATTCAAGTGAATGCTGAACGTGCGATCGACGATAAACGATGCGTAATAAACGGCAAAATTCGACGCTGCCAACAACATTTTTGCGGCCATAAACGCTGCTCCATGGGAGAGAGAGAAAAAAAGGGAAAATCGGCTAAATTTTTATTAAGGTTCATATTTTATGACATGGGATGAATATTGTTATGTAGCAATAATAATGAATGAAAAATTGAATGCATTGAAAAATTCGCTCAACAATGTTTGAGTAAATCGGCAACACAGCGGCAAAAATGCGTGTGTGATTTTTCGGCTTCGAATGTATACGTGACCATTTGTTTGTGATCACATTTTCACTCAAATGTCGCGTGTATGTATGCAAACCATTTGGTTCGGCCAGAAAAAAAAAATAATGCCAAACATAATTTCATTTTATGTGCTCAAATTTTCCCTCGCAATTCGATTGATTTGCTGAATTATCGATGAAATGTTGTCGAATATAGAAGCAATTTCACAATAATGATCATTTCATATTCCAATATTGATCATGATAAATTCATCGATTTTAACGCCTTTGCGCGTTGTTGTTGCTGTTGCTGCTACTTATTTTCCACTTACAAAACGGGCAAAAACCATAAGGAATTTATCGTACGATCGCGATATTTTGATTATTCGTCAAAAATGACGCACGATCGAAGAAATTGTTTAGCGCTTTTACTGTGTGCCATATCCATGTCAATATTCCTCTCTCTGTTTCGCGGCCATTTTTTGCCATTGCGTTCCTTTTTCGGTCAAAAGCGTGCTGGTTTACATGTATGTGTCCGGCTTATACACACAACCATCTCTATTCCGACACGAAATCCAGCGAGCACGAGAGATGAGAAGAAATGAAAACGTGTGTATTTGTTTGCATGCGCAGGAGTTGTGCAAATCCATTGAACTGAAAATTTCCCCAATTTTCACTCATGATCTTCACTCACAAAATACATACAAAATCACACTCAAACACACACGCACACGTTCACACATGATTTTCGAATCAATGATTCTAAAAGTGTGAGTGAGTTTTTGGATTTTTGTTTTTATTATATTTTTCGTTGCTGCCGACACACACGCTTTTCATGAACGGTTTGTTATTTAACATCGTTTATATCAACATACCGTGAATTATTTCATTCGACTGAGAGAAAGAGAGAGAGAGAGCGAGAGAGTACGGGAGCGTGCAAGCACATTACACTGTACAAATATAAATCGCTCCACGATCAAGATAAATAAACCGTGCGGTACATAAATAAATGAGCTATTTTGGTGAGGTTTTTTCTATAGAACCTCTTTGCTTATTACGCGCTCAATGAATGAGTGCTGAATGGCGCCAATGAGAATTATTTCAATATATATTGAATATGTTAATTGTAGCACACGACCAATTGAAATGAACTTATTTTGTGTGTGTGTAGTGTTTGCGCGGAAATTGCATCTCTTTCCAAAAGCGATTGAAATTGGACGGACACACACAGTGTGTTTCATTTGATGCACATAAAAAAAATTGAAAAAATTAATTTTTCTCTTTGAATTGTAAACTTTTAACTTCGTGAACTGTGGTTCAAATCAAAGTCATTTGCATTGAACGAATTACGTCTCGCCGAAAACGCAGCGTTCATATTTCGTTATATTTATCTCCAAATTATGTAAAAAATAATGGATTTATTTGTAATTTTTAGCCCATAATATCATTCAAATTTAAAACAAATGATCCAATTAGACCATTTGGATCCAATTACATTGGTTTATTTTTATAAACCAAAACTTTAAATTCGTGTACAAAATGAGCTCAAATCCGTCTTTTAATTATTTCACGTGTCATTTTTGCCATCGGTTCTAAGCACCCATTTCCAATAATCATCTTATATGAAACACATTGCAGCTGTTAGAATCACGTACAAAATGAAATCGCGCCAAAAATTTAAAACAACTCACAATAAGTGAATCGGCTGAAGTTTGAAAACCCTACAAAAGTGGAACTCTTCAAACAACACAGCAATGGCCGTCGGTTGAGCTTTTTTTTAAAAGTTCAAGTCGTTTTTAAAACTTTGAGCGACTCACAACTTCAATAATGCTCACATGATTTCGGCTGATTCTCACAGATGGCGCTAAATGTTTCATGAAAATTCAAAATTAGTTGTTGTAAAAACGGATTTTTTTGTTGGCTTGGCTTTTGCTGCATGAAATTCAATTGAAACGCTTTCAACGACCGTATCGAAAAAAGTGTTCGCTTTAAAACAGAGAAGAAAAGAGAGACAGATAAAGTTTGTGGATAAGTTCATCTTTATTGGTTCAATGTACATTTTTACCATCAATCGCCGGGTTTTTTTTTTCTCTGTCGTACCTTTTTGTGCGAAGTCAGCCATCCAGACTGAAGAGAAGGTAGAAGAAAAATGACAAAGATGGAATATTTATGGGTTTTCTGGAAACGATGCAATTAGCACACAGCTCAATTTTACCTGCTGCCATTTAAAAAAAAAAGGCAATCGATGTGAGGCAAATGCGAAACGAAAAGTATAATGCACATGGGGTAACGAAGGAAAAGAGAGTGCGAGAGAGATTTTTGTGTTCCTTTTCTGAGATTTATTTGAGATATCGTTTTTTTTTTGCTTTGTTTTTGCTTTTCGCTCGAGCGTCATATCCATTTCGTCTCGTTTGACTGTTCACTTTTTTTTCTTGTTTCAACCAAAGCCGTTTTATTCCTGTGCGATGTTCGTCATTTTCCAGACATTTGAAAATCCTAACGAGCGCCGTACGCTTTTTTTTATTGCGTGCGAATGTTTGCTTTTCGGTGGACTGCTGTTTAAGTGCCATGTAATTGTCAAATACAATACAGGAAAATATCATCAATGCCACTCGTCTGGCGACGCATTGGCACAGGAAAGAAAACACACCACGGTACAGAGCAGCAGAACCAAGTCAAATGCCTAACCTATCAACATAAAAATTGTATGCAAGTAAACTGCACTGGATTTTATGAGCGTGCATTTTTCACTGAAAACTATTTGTCAACTGGTTGCCATTACCAACCGTCACCGTCAAATAGAGCAACAAGAGAACTTGCACGCAAGAACGACAATGTTGTCAGTGCAATTTCAAGTAATCATTGCACCAAAATTGTTGACATTCTTGCGCTCATCACGAACTTTCTTAATTGATTTTTATTCGGTCTTGAATTATCTTTTCACATCAAATGAGACAACAACAGCCCCAGCGTGTGTTTGTTCGCTCTGTGTTTTCAATTAAAGCCAAAATAGCATCACATGCATAGCTCCAATAGTGAGCCGAAAACAGATAGACAGAGGGAAAAATGTTTATGCCCAGGCAAAAACAAATGCAAATACTCACTCTCTCACACACACACACACACACAGCAAATACCAAGATATATATTGTTCATAAGCCCTTATTTGGATTGGAAAACAAAATGCAAATGACATTCCGTTTCGATTTTCCGTTTGAAACTCTTTGCATAAGTTATTATGTAATCCATTCTTGGTGCGGTTCAGCGTCATAGGAACACAATAGAGACTGAGCAAGCGAGCGAGCGAGTGAGTGAGTCGCTTCGACTGTATTGTAGCAGCTGTTGTACAATGCTCACAATGCGCACAAATAGATGGGAAACGATTTGACGACGGTAAAACGGTGTGTATTTGTGAGTGAGCACACAATCAAAGATTTGAATGCACATATATATATTGAACGGCGTTGGGCTCTAAAGGCATTAAACATCGAATCGATCACATGTTATTATTTTCATTTTTTTTTTCGTTCGCCTATTTGTGCATTTTATCGGTCTCTTTTTCATTCTATGTCTATGTAAAGAGATATGTTTATGAGCCGCGCGCACAGGTCATACCATACAATGTGCATCTTTCTGCTTTTATGCTTAATAATTATGGCCTGTAGAGAAAGAAGTTACTTACTCAAGGCTAAGAAAATATAATAGCTACAATTTATAGTCGATTTTCACAGCGCGTTTATCGGCCCAGCTGTTTTCGAAAATGACATCCGTCACACACACACACACACGCTCACGAATAAAAAGGGCAACTATTTATCGGACGCAATGAGCATATTTACAAATGTGAGAACACAATTACGAACGTTTGTATATTTGAGCGTTTAATCAAAGAGAGAAAGGCTTTTTTTCGAGAATGCTTCAATTTGGTTTTATTCAAGAAATGTAAACGGGACACAGAACGGTCAGCAAACAAACTGAGGCTAATTAATCATTAATTGATATTAATTTGTGACCGAATATTTGCGGCCAAGTTCGTGCATGCTTGTGCTTTACGTCTGGCTCATAATTCACTCGCAACTTAATTTACTTTGATTCCATGAATTCAAGCCGAGATGCGTGCTCTTGCAAGCAAACAATTCCAAATTAACTGGATAGACAGAACAGAGTCATTGTCGATGACAGCATTGCAACAACAACAAAAAAAACAACGGCTCATGTTTTCTTCCTCTTGGTCTCTAAGCAATTTTCCTCTCCTTTTTTTTCTGGTTTGCCAATGTTAAACATCGAGTCCGAACACCGAGACCAAAACCGACATAGAGAGTGAGAGAGTGAGAGAGAGAGAGAGAGAGAGAGTCTGTGTGCGCATAATGAGAAAAGTTTATGTGGAACAAAAAGTTATTATGATTATTTTATTATAAAATCAAATTTGTTGCTTTTATGAAAAGGTGGCTGGATTGAAAACGGAAATTTTCGCATGCTATGTTCTTTGCCTGTCGTTGTCGTCGTTCCACTGGAAGTTTTCCACACAAAGTGTTCACTTTCGCCAACTTGATTGAGTGAATGAGTGAAAAGTGCCGGATCACACGTTGTCTGTTTTAAATACGTATTTGGCAGTTCTTTGCCGTTACAAATGTTCGCTTTTCTTTCGAGATTTTGTTTCTCTTTTCTTTATCTTTTTCCGTCATTCCGGTTACATGAAGGGTGAGTTAATTTAAAAACCGGCATATATGCTGTTCGCTTCAATTGCCTTCTGCACACATGCACACATCCATACACAAAACACACACACACATGCTCATTCGGCCGAAGTGCCGCTTGCACACAAAGCAGTATAACACTAATTCGAAACGAAAGAAGGAAAGTTTTTTGTTCGTCGTTCGTTCGTTTAGCTCCCTTGCTAACGAACGAATTTCCATTCCATAAAATACATATTGAAACTGAATATATTTCGTTTACTATGTTTATATACAGTGTACACATTTGGTGAACAGGGTATGTACCCTGTGCATATATGTATTTCATTGCTGTTGCTGCTGTTGCTGCTGCTGCTGCCGCTGCTGCCGCCTGCCAGAAGAGACCCGTAATGCCTCGATTGTGTCGTGTGCGCTCTCTCTTACTCTGGCTCTGACTCACACTCCAGTTGGAATATTATGGCGAGGCACATACGAGAAAAAAAAATACAGCAAATACGAGCCGAGCAGAGCAGCAACGGCAAAATGGTTCATTCCTTCTTCTCGGCGAACTCTGTGTGCCGGTTGGTTTAAATCGCTCATTCTATGTGCTATGGCCTGTGCTGTGTTTATGTGATTTTCCAAACTCAATCCCATTTCACTTTAATGCTCTGAACGAAAAATCGACAAACTGTATACACAGGGAATGTGTGCATATAACAACGTTTGCTCGTTCGTTCGCTCGCCTGCTCGCGAAGCAACGATGAGGACAACACCAACAACAACATCAGCGACGACGACGACGACGATGCTTCTATGTATGCAGCAGCAGCCCTATTCCGTATATTTTTCCCTGTGAGTGTGTACATGTTTAACATGAGTTTTTAATGCGAAACGTTATTTTATTCTTTCCCCTCGGCATTTGTGCATGCAGTAAAACTGCTGGCTCGCTCTCTGTTTTATGTGTTTCAAGCGCAGAGAAAGACCAAGTACCAGTTCAATATTGCCGAAAGAGAGAGAGAGAGAGAAGGCTCACCCTTATTTTTTGGCCGACTCAACTCGATTCAATCGTGTACACACGCCATCCTCAGCTAAAATTCAACTACTTTGCTTGTCCCAACTGCTGCTGCTGCTGCTGCTAATGTTGTTGCTGTTTTTGTTGTTGTTATTTCCCATTCTGCATAATATCATACAAAATAGATGGAGTCGAAAATGAATGTTCTCAGCAGCGGCAGAGTACTGCACATTTGCATAAGAAGTAAAGCCGGAGCTTTCAATTTTCGGAAAAAAAATTTCCGAAAAACTTTCTTCAGAAAGAGAAAGCCAACGAATCGGCAACATTTTCGATGCGACGCAAAAAATATTTTAGCAAATCAAGATGAAAATTGGAAATTGAATTCGAATTTCGAACTTTTCGCACCACTCTAACGAACCGAATTCGAGAGTAAAACGAATGAATGTACGCCAAAATGTTTTATGCTTAGCGTAGCGTACGCTCAAATGTGAGATACAATAATTTTAGGTACGGCTGTTTCTCTCTCTGCACATGCAGAATACAATCGGTCTTTCTCCTCATTGCCTCAGTGTATAAATATAGTAAAATTGCTATAGGAAAAGCGAACGAACGGCAGCAAAGACAGACTCGATTGAAATCGACCTCATGCTCATACTACCGTTTATTTCGTTATGGTTCATGCTGATATTCATTTCTCTCTCTCTCTTCCTCTCCCTCTCTCTCGCACTCTCCTTTCGACCGTATATTTTTCGAAAAATACCGGGGAATGAGTAAATGTGGTGTATGTGCTCTCGCGCGGTAGATTGTGTACACATAATTTCCACCCTGAAAAGCAATCTATTTTGCAATCCAAGCAAGTATTGCGCGTTCCATGGAAAATTTTCTATAATGTGTATTATGTTTGCCAGGGATGTGTGCTCACTCTCGTATTCTCTTCGTGTGTCTCTCCCGTTTGCTGGGTTTTTGGTTCGTGTCGGATCAGTGGTAAAGCGTGTGTACGTGCGTGCGCGCGCGCTTCGAGCCTGAGCCGACCGAATTTAATCGCAATTTTAAATGCGTAAACTTTTTCACCAATCGTTCCTTTATCCTAAAAACCCATTACTTTGAAGCCGGCTCGCGTGTGCCATGGCTCTGTGTTTCTCTTCGTTTTCGCTTCGGCCTAAGTAAAAAATCCGGCGTGAAAAAATCAATTACACAAAAGCGACTAATTAATTGCACATCCCTGAAAACGCTAATAATTTCTTGTATGATAGCACACTGGCAAATGCAGAATGGTTTTGTGTCGGTTTTTCCTTTTTGTGCCATTGCTACTGATGCTGTCGATTGTTGTTGCCGTTGTTATTTTCTCTCTCTCTCTCTCTCTCTCTCTCTCTCTCCCTCTCTCTCTCTCTCTGTATGGATGAATTTGAAATCCACGAGAAAATGCACCGAGAGCACTCCTCTTTTGCTCCCCAACATGATCTCATGTGTGTGGCTGATGCTCATGTTTGTGTCGTTCGCATGCAAATGGACGACACATCACTTTTGAAAAATATACACATACTCTCTCTCCTTACTCACTATTTCATTCTCGATGGCAACGTCTGGATAGGGCACAAAACAATAGATATGCACAATTTGTCGAACGAACCAAATAACAACACAACAAAACTGAAAAGAACGAACAAACAAACGAACGAGCGAAAAATCGCCATCAACATCGACAACACAGAACGGCATCGTCGTGTACAAATGAGGATAGCAAGCTAAAGACACGCCATAAAATTTGTAAACTAATTTACTCAATTTCTTTCAAGTGAAACAAGAAAATATTTTTTAGCAATTCAACCGGATTGGCTTTCTTCATCTGAATTTTGACTCTGTGGTACCGCAACCAGCCACTATTGCCGCCATGGAAACCCGACGCTTCTCTCTTGAGCGAAAATTGAGAAATAAATGAAAGGAAATTTAAAATTCATGTTAAAATTTTAATTAATTACCAAGCGCTTGCACAACCATCAAATACAAACACAAATTAAACTCACTTGATTAATGTCGCTGTTTCTCATTTTACCTCGTTCGCGTGAGTGTGTGTTTTTGTGTGTGTTGTGTCGGAAAAAGGGTATTCGCATGAATAATGTGCTCGTCGAATATGTATACATATATCTATTCTATCTGGTTTCTGTCTGCTTCCGACGCCGCCACCGCTGCTGTTGCCGTCGTCGTCGTCATCATCATCATGAATGCCGTGTGTGTGTGTTGAATCATCGAATGAAAATTGAAGCTAATGTCATTTTATAATGGTAAATGCCGGGTCGGTCAGTTTTCGTGTGATGCATGTTTTATGTGATTTTCCAGCCACCAATATCATCCACATTCAGCACACGTCTAATGACCAGCTTCTAACCGATTCTTTTTCACCTCATTCACTCACTCTTTTCTGTGCGTCCGTTTCTCTCTCTCTCTCTCTCTCTCTCTCTCTCTCTCTCGTACCGAAAAATTCATTCCGATTATTCATCGGTAATTTAACAAATTGACTATTTTATCAAGCTCAATATATCGATGTTTGTCATACGAAGCTCTCCGAAACAGCAATAACAACAATAAGAAAGAAAAAAATTTAGTAAAACACACAGCGACTATTTTGTAATTTGAAACTGTGAAAACAATGGTGAATATTTGTTTTTCGCAAGTGAAGGAAATTAAAAGTAAATAAATATGGGTAAAAAGAGTAAACGCAGAACACGGAAAAATACTCTAAAGTCATTAGACAACAAAAAAAGCATGCATATTATGGAATGGCAGCGGAAAAAAAAGCACGAAGCATTTAGCAAAAGAAGCAGAATGAACTGGGTAAAAAAGAAATATGAATTGACAAAGCATTCCAACGAGTCTGAAGTGTGTAAGTGAGTGACGAATAATATTCGGCGGCATATAATAATCACCTGTCAGTGCGTGTTCGCGTTTATGAGCCGCATTCATGTGGTAATATGAGTTTCTCTCGCACATCGTTTAATGCGAAAAAAAAAGAACAAGGGAAAATCGGATTTTAATTTGAGAGAGAATCCCTCCTCATCCAAATATTCATCAATTTATGCGTCTAATTGCTATAGGCAATGCAGCAACGCAATTTCTATGCATAATTAAGTGATTTTTAAAATGAAAAAAAAAACATAATCAGGGGAAAAAGAGAAACAGGCATCCTTTTAGCCCAGAATAAAATTAAAACGTGAGCCAAACATATGGTGCATCATCGCATTTCTGTGCCCGCTCTCGCACCAATACAACCCGAACAATAACAACGACGAAAATTTGATCGATTATTGAATGAGAGATATGAAAGCATCTCTCGCATTCGTCGTCTCAATGTATCCGGGAATGACACATGAATTTTCAATGAACGTGTCAATCAATCAAGCAAAATGCCTTTCAAAAAAAGAAGACGACACTAACATTCTTACTGCTTCATGTGACTGCCTCTCTTTCTCTTGTTCTGTCTCTCTGTGTGTCTTGTCAATGCTTTAAAAATAGATATCGATTTTCTTCGATGCGTTTGAGTCTAACCAGAATCGAAGAAAAATCGAATCCACCTATTTTTGTATTGAAAAGAAATCGGTCGGTCAAAATATTCAATACGAAATATACTTAAGCCAATGACAAAGCAACAACAACAATAACAAAAAATAACAACAACATCATCATCATCATCATTGCCATAGTCGTCGTCGTTTCGAAGAAGAATACACCGAGGAACATGTGCGCAAACAAGCGGAATGCATTGCTCGTGTTTCGCTTGGCAATTTTCATTCGCTTGGATTTGTTGTTGCCATTCATTTATTGCCATCTGTATTTTCGTTTCCCTTTGTCACATTTGCTTGAAACGGCGGCGGCGGTTGCTGCTGCCGTTGCCGCTGCTATTCAAGCCCTGGGAACTTTTGCGAGCCGAGCATGCGATTATCTCGCACAGATAACAACTTAACAATAAATCTCTGCATAGAAATCCAAATGGGCAAAAGTTGGTTTTCTTTTGCCGAAATGCAATTGCGTGAACCGGTGTTGCTGTTGTGTTTCGCTCTGTCATTTCCATTGTTTATACGACAGTCGCCTATAGTCGATTTCAATTTACCAATTCGCATGCACATTTTGTCATATTACATTGACATGGTTTTCAATTTTTTTTTTCCCTTCTACCGAAGGAAAAAAAAAAGCACACAACAAACCAAAACTGACGGCTCTGTGTTTTTTATTAGCTCCGTTCATCGCCGTCACCGTCGTAATTTAACTTGTATGGCTTTTTCATTTCTGATTCATGTCTGCAGATTGAAAATCGAAAACAAACGGCAAACACAAGAATCTGAACGGAACAAAAGCATTTTCCAAACGTGCAGTGCAGCATGTAGAAGAGAAAAAAGTTGTTGTTCATTGCTTGTGTATATTCATACAGCGGACAGATAGGTTAAATGTCTGTAGTTTCATCTCATTCCGCTGCGTTATGAGGGCGCACATTTCTCGCTTTAGTATAGCGTTTCATTTCATTCTCTTCGGAATTTTTTTTTCCTTTCCACATTAAATTGGTGTCAGCATCTTTCGGCAGCGTTTTTATTTTCAGTCGTTGCTTTGTCGTTTTCCATTTGTACGTGTACACACACGAGTGAGTTGGGTGTGTGTGCGTAAGTAAGACCGGTTCAGCAAGTATTGAATAGAGACATCGCTATGTAAAATGGCTAGCAAACCGAACGAAACGGAATGATACTCAATGGAGTTACACCAACACAAGCATACACATTAAAAATGGCCGTTCCGAATACAAGCTCACGAACCAAATTGAGTCATACGCTTGGTTTTGCCGCACGCACACCACAAAGACTCATCATTTACACAAACACACACACACACAAACTGACGCTCGCTCACTCTTGCAACGGCTAATTGAGTCAATATCCCATCGAAAATGCTTTGTGTATGCCTGTCTCGCTCTTGCTTTCGTCCATTTTGAATACAGATTGTCTTCCATGTTGTTTTTTTTCCCATAGATGCTTTGTTCGCAACACACGATCGTTGGATTGGATGGATATTTTTTTGTGTGTTGTTTCGGTAGATTTTCATTCAAGTGGAAATCGAAAATTCTTAATGAAAGAATTTTGGCATTTCCGCTAAATACAACGCGAAAATTCAACGAAACATTCAGTAATATGATTGACTATTGAAAATTCTCAAATTATCTGCTTTTGTCATGAAAATTCTCCGTTCAAATAAATATGTTTGTTGAAAGAAACATCCACAAGGCGCTAAATAAAAATTCAAAAACTAAACGTCTCACGTTTGCGAATGTGTCTGTTTTAGTTGGAGCGCAAAATGTGCTGCTGCTTGTGTTGCCGCGTTGTTGTTTGTTTCGTTTCATTTCATTTTTTCCACCGTGGATTTGCCAGTCACTCGTGATTCATACCATCTCATTTGCACTCTCTACCTCGCTCTTCTCGTTCAAATTCACATTCGGCATCGGTGCTTGCTGAACGTGTATATACACATTTTTTTTTCTCTATCTCTTTCTCTGTGTCGTGTTCTCTGCTACTAAATTTTCTTATGTATGCTCGTTGTCGTATGATCGAATCGCTTTGCTGAGCCACACTCACCAATACCAATATGCATACAACAAGCGTTGCCATATTTCTTTGGGGGAACGCGCGCGTTCTTCACAATCGTTTTGTGTAAAAAACATTCAAAGTTGCCGATGTATTTTGTCGTTTTAGCTGTGGCTGTGACACAGTGTGCGTTTTCCCTCACCAATACCAATGCACTGGGTTCGTGTAGCAACACGAAAGCTAATGCTTGCTTCGTAAATGCGAAGCAACGTTCAGCCGCCATATACAATTCGTAGAATGTGCAGAAGTAGTACAAACTATACACACTTTTATAGCAGTCGGTATATTCAGTAAAGCCGTCGTCGCGTATAATTCACAAATACTTTATGTTAGTGGTTTGGCTAGCTCTTGTGTTTCTGTTGTTTTTTTTTATTCATATTCATTTATATATATATATATTCATTTTGTACTTTTCTCATTAACTCGCCGTTTGTTTCGTTGTTTTTTTTTGGTTATTTCGTCTTCTTATTTCTATTCCCGAAGAAGTGAGGAGGTTATTTGTATTTGTCGTACAAATTTTTTTCCTACTCGAAATTTAATAAATTTTTCGTGTTGGTTGTGAAATACACACTCTCGACGTGCGGATTCACACACCGAACCTCGAAACCATTGGAAATTACGTTGTTGTAATAATAAGCAGCAAAAGTATCTCACACTGTGCTCTCTATATACCATAGCATACACAGAGTTTTCGGTTGTTTTTAACGCGCGCATTTTTACATTGTTATCTCGTCATTAAAGTAATCTCCGCGTGTTTTTTTTTGTGTGTGTTGCACAATGTGATGTATTTTTAATACATTTTATTTTATTTTCCCGCTGCTGTTTCTAAAGTGCATTGATACATCGTACGACAACAACAAAATCGCCTTAGAAAAAGAGAGGTAGTTTTTCGAAAATCGCGTTCTAAAATTTGGTTTGAATTGATCTTATATTGCAATTGGCAATGCGAAAAAAAATAATATAGAAATAAACACCATGGTGTAACTGCAGTTACGCACAAAACATCCGATTTCAGTTTACTATACATACAGTCAAGCAAACACGCAAATAAACACACATTTTTTGTCTCACTTGCTGCATTACGAATAACGGCAAACGAGAGTTTTCATGTCGCAAACGGGAATCCAATAAATGAAAGTGGATAATATTTACGCATTGAATAAATTCGAGAAAGAGTACGACAGAGAGATAGATAGAGAAAAAAGATAGTGTCAATCCATCGCTGAATAAGAATCAACGGCGATTCCAAAATCCATTGTGTATTTCAAAAGTGGCCTATTCGTTACAGTAGCAAACAGCAAATGGAAATAAACAAGTGACTAATTGCAGTGTATTTATTCGAAAGAAATAGTTTCATTCATTATTTCCCAAGCGTCTCGCGTACGATCGCGCGGGATTTTGACTGGTTAACTCAAGTGCTAACCCGTGTGTTGCCATCGAACACAGAAAAACGGTTCCAAAAACATCGGCCCGTCGGTGTCGGTTGTAACAAAATTTATACGTTTTTGGTTATTATTTCGCCCCAAATCGTCGTCATCAGTGAAAACAAAATAGACGAATAAAAATGTTGTTTTAACAGTGGAAATTTTAAGAAAACTCCGAGACAGTTGTTCAATTTACACGGGAAAATTAAAACAGCAAAGAAATTTTGTAGGAGAAAAAAAAGAACCGACTGATTTATAGCCCATGGAAGTGGCGGCATGGAAAAGAGCAAAAATACTTCTTCTTTTTTTCGATGAAATTACAAGAGAAAATGTGCTTATAATTGAATCCGTTATAAAAATTCACATCTGCTTTTTTTTCTACCACGCCTAGTGTTCAAAATACAAGCAATGCATCATACTATTCTTTGTTTGTCTCTCGGTTTTTTCGACGGAGAGCTCGCGGGTTATATATACGGTTGTTGTTTTTTTTTCGTGAATTTATACGCAATATTTCGTTGTCTCTCTACTCTTTCTCAATTTAGTTTAGTGCATAGGGTGTTTCACAGGCAAAAACTAAAAAAATTGTGAATTTTTTTTTGTCATTTTGATTGTGACTCACAATCAATCGTGTTAGTTTTTTTTTCTTCTTCTTCTGCCTTCTGACGAATGAAAAAAAGGGGCAGCAATCACAATGAGAGATAAATTAACAATAGTTTCACACTTATTCGACCATATTGAATCAAAATGTGCTTGAAGTCAAAACGTCGATTTCAAATTCCATTCTCTGGTTCAATTTTCAATGTCATTTTGATTCGCCATAATGGAATCCAAAGAGAACCATTCTTTTTTTTTTTGCTTCGTGAACATTTCAAAAGTTCAAAGAGAGATCAAAATGTGACTTTTTTTCTCGGTACAACGTGCAACCATCGCAAGAGAGAGAGAGAGAGAACGAAAAACGCCGTCAAAAACGTGTTGTGTCAAAGCGATAGCTCTCTACATTGGCTGTGTGTGACTGCAAACAATTAGTGTTTGCGCGCGCGACACACAGATTATATTCCATACACAAATGAAAATACCGGCGTAATTTAAAACAGAATGCAGATTTCCATTTCGATTCATTAAAGCATTCAAGCCCGAATGAGTAAAACAACAACAACAACAATGAAAGAAGAAAAAAAATCATATTTTTGCCCGCCACAGAGCAACGCGAGTGCGAACTCGTTGTTGTTGTTGCCATTGCTAGCTTTCCTTTCATTTCGCTCTGTTCATATTTTTCATCATTGCCAATTCGAACTCGTAATATAAGCAACGCAACAACGCAGTTTAATTTGAAAGTACCAACACATGCGAACGCTGTCTCATTTACAAGAATTGTTGTACACACATTGGATGGCAGGCAGCAGCGAGCACAGTCGAACGACTGTGTTCGTGAGCATAAGCGAACCATTCGGTTCGGTGTCGTTGCTGCTGTTGTTGCTTGTTTTTTTTTTTGCCAAAGTATTGCCCGTTGTATGTACAAATACATGTATGCTGGTGCCGTTCGATTGTTTGGTCTTTTTTCATTCTATTTTGTGTGAAACCGAAAAGGACACATTAAGACGCGTCCCTTTTTTACTCTGTTGTTTTAACCGAAATGAAAATACGAATTGCAGCGGGCGCGTTCGAATGTATTTCGGAATGAAATTGATTAACAACATTGGACAAAAACACATCAAATCGATGACCAAACATGAAAACATTCAATCGACAAAAGACAATGAAAGAAAAACACACGGAGCACACCACAAAGTCAAACGGCATGTTTCGAACATCGATAGAAAAAATTCGATTCAATTCGAATCGTTTGGGTTGTGTTGTTTTTTCCTTCTTTTATTTCATATGGCCAAAAGAGCGTTCTTTCGATCGCCGTTCTTCTTTTTCTGCTGCTGCTGGATCTGAGCATTTGATGCACGCACATAAGCGCGCCACAGTTACATTCGCCTCGTGTGCATACACACACAACGCACACACACACACACACACTTTTCCCCATGTATTGGTGGACATTTTCGAACCGAACAGAAAGAAGAAAAAAACCAACACACAAGCGGGATATACACAGCTTGCATTCTCTGTCCTGTTTCTTCTTCGTTTCGTTCTTCTTGCACGGACTTCGTTGTTTCGTCGACGAAATAGCAGCAGCGGTCGTGCTTCAAGCATTTTCAGCTTGGCAACCATGTTATTTCTCTTCTATTTCATGAAATTTGTCTACCCGCACCGAACCAAAAAGACAACAACAACAACAATAACACCGATTCCAAACTGAAATTTCATCCGAAGACGAAAAAAATGCTCAAGTTTTATTCGATGAGAGAAAAAAAATATGAATCTTATTTCCGGATGATTTGAAGCGAAAACAAATTTTGGCACATTTTTTTCTCGCCTTAAAATCCAAACTGCATTCAGAGGGCCACAGTGGCCGTCTACTCCAATTTCATTGTAATTTGCCGAGCAAAAAAATTGAGCCAACAATATGTATTCATCTCAAAAACGTTAATAATTCGACTTTCACTTTCGTTAAAAACAAAGCAAATCGAATCGACAGACTAACGAAGAATGCGAACAATTTTTTTGCTCTTCGTTCTTTTGCTTTTGCATTGAGAAGCGTCGCTTTAAAAGATTTTAAGGTGAAAATGAACAAATACAAAGGAAAAAAACGAAGAAAAAAAAGAATTCGGACAGTATAAAACCTCAAAGGAAACAAGAATAGTTTGGAATTACACGAAGCATACATGAGAGTATATAGTGGCCACTAGCATGTATTCGCTCTCTTTTCTCTTGTTCGCCTGCCTGCCTGCCTGCCTGCCTGCTTCGTGCCGACGCCGCTGCTGCTGCTCGTCGCTTTTGCTTGCTTATGTACACACAGAGCCACATCGATTCGTATGTAACGTGCCATGCACACACAGGGCAGACATCTTTGTATTGTTCGTCTTTTTCCACACGAACCAAAAAGAGAACGCTGCTGTTGATTCGTTGTTCGGTTTTTCGTTTTAATACTCGGTACTGCCGTTGAGATTACTGTCGCGATTTTTTTTCCTCTCTGTGTGTTTCACAGTGTACTGTGGCCCCTATTCGTTTAGTGTTGTAGCAGCAACGCGCGTACTATAGATCTTTTGTTGTTGAAATATTCAATTGGCAAGAAGAAGTACATTCTTCGTTTTGTGTGCTATTTTTTTTCCTACTCCTCTCCTGCTATATTCTTTTTTCACTTTGCTTTTGCTTGAAAATATCTGTATACAATTTATTGTGCAGTGTTATAGTAAATGAAACGACCATACAAACCAATAGGAAAAGAAACGAAATAAAAAAGAAAACGAAACAAATAGAGAACGAGAGAAAACTACAAGAATCATAACACAGAAAAAAAATAAATAAAGAAGATAATTCAAAGGCAGCAGACAAAGTCAAAAAGAACGATGAACAACAAAAAATCATAAATGACACATATGATTTTTATTGTTCGTACGTTGTTTTTTTCGCACCTCTGCTCGCATCGTTTAATTCATGTATATATTTTTTATCATCACACAGTGTATGCAGTAACTTGCATCAAAATCAAAATTAAAGACAGTGGAGAATACCAAAGTGCAGTTTGTTTGTAGTAAATAAAAAGAACGGTCAATGGCATGACATAAGCCGATTTTTGATTTTAAAAAAAAAGAAGAAAAAAAAAGTTACAGTGAGAACGGAAAGAAGAAGAAAACCAGTGTCTGAATCGAAAAAAAAATTCGAATCCAAAAAAGAAAGGAATACAATACCAAGTAAAAAGAACCAAGGAATATTTTTCAGTGTGTTTTATTGTGAATTCGAAGCTGGACGTAAGATTTCGCATCACTATTGATTTTGGATTAAGCGACAGCACGTACCAACACACAAATTATACAAAATGTCAGAGCACCATCGAGGTGCATGGGGCTCTCGCGAAGAGGCGGTATGGTGGCCGGGCGGTGGCATTGCACAGGATCAACAGACGATGCATCAACAGCAATTGATTAATCAACATCATCAACAGCAACAGCATCAGCAATTGGTTCAGCAACATCAAGTGCAAATCCAACAGCATCAAGTCGTACAACAGACACCGCAAGGCCAACAACACAACGATATTGCGCGCAGTAACAATTCACAAGTTCCCGGCCAACAGATTTTCTCGTACAAAATGGCTAGCAGTTTTCAAAATCCAGCGGGCGGTGCTGGTGGTGTTACAGTGGCCACAACAAATGCCGGTGCCTATGATTATCGCTTGAATATGGCACCAGCCGGTGGAAATGCAGCCGCTCCAGGAACACAATGGTGGTACACAACCGGCCAAAATGTCGAAGCAGTCCACCAACAAAACCAAGCGCATCAACAAACAAATCAACATCCACAGACGAACCAGCATCAGCAAGCGGTATGTATTTACGATGATTTCGAAATGACACGAAACCGAAAATATTCCGAAAAACCCAAGAAAAAAAAATATTAAAATCTCGTTGAATCGCGAAATATCACGTTGTGCCCATTCGTTGTGTCACTTAAAAGACACCACAGATCGATTTATTTGATTAGAATCTCGTTGAATTTTCACATAAATTCGGTTTACTACGCGTTCACCTCCGTTTTTTATACTCTGCGCGCGTGAAAAACAATCCATACATTAGGTCGACATCCGGTTCTGAGTGGAAAACCACCAGCGATACCTCGTAATTTTACCGTCGTATAGTTTCCTTTTTTCCCTTTCTAAATAAACATTCAACTTTCAGGTCGGGCAGGAACATGCAATGTGCGTGTTTCATGTCCATTTCACCGATTAATTAATATTTACCGTTAATTCCTTGACTTTTTATATCTCTGCACGAAAACAATACGCCAAGCCAAACAAAAACATTGGCCCCTAATCGATAACCTTCCATATAAACATTCAGTTTAGAATTTTATGCGCGGGCGCGCACTCTCGCCGAAAACAATTAAAAAATCTGTTCGCAAACACGCACTCGGAACAAAATCAAAGTTCTTGACACCATCATCGAAGAGCGAAAAAAAAACAGATTGGATAAAGAAGACGCTCAAATAAATGAAATTAACCAAAACAAACGAAGCAGAAAAACGATGGATGGATTCACTCATGGAAAGAATAAGAGAGAGAGAGAGTAAAGAAAGGCAACGAAATGAAAAACTCATGTGGCAAATGCCCGAGAGAAATGAACAACACAGAGAAAAAAGCGAACCAAATTCAATTTTATATAATCTATTAATCTACAGAATTCCTTGTTGTCTTCTTGAAGTTATTTTTTTCTCGATTTCGTTTGGTGTGTTTCTCGATAATTTTGCCTTTGTTCAGAGTGTTCGGTTCACATCACACACACACATCTCGCCCAAGCGCTCTTTCTCTTTCTGTCTCTTGCTATGTATATACTACCTAAATGCATGGCTATGAGCGAGTGCAACGCGCGCCTTTTTTTCTTCTTCTTTCGATCGATTCAATGCTCGAAGAAGACTGAAAAAAAAAATATCGAAGAAAACACACAACATTTTCGAATGCTTTTGAACCGTGTGATGTGTTCATATACGAAATATATCCGCGCTTTATTCAACAATGGCCGCGCGCGCGACTTTTTTCTGGGGCTATTTTTTTTTGTTCCTCTGTTGTTTCACATTACACATTTGAACAGAGTCCGCGTACGTACATTCTAAACTTCGACTGTACATTTTATTTTCGATCGAAATTCATCACACACTCACACACATGCACATGTACATGGGCAGAGTGAGTGAGCGAGAGGGAGAGAGAGCGTGTACAGCCAACACCAATAGACACATGCACACGCACAGCATACAGCGTACGCGTGCTGCCACAAAGAAAAAGTAGCATTACATCACTCGCACACTCACGCGAATCCGTACGCATTCACAGCTCGATATGCTGCTGATGTTGTACGTAGTAGCAGCACCAGCAGAGACACAGCCATTGCCTAACTTCTTCTATCTTATTTTTTGTTGAATATGCTTTTTTCGCTACGTCTTTTGCTTCTCTCTTTCGCCTGAATGCTGGTTTTGGCTGATTTCGATACATACATGCATGTGGATCTCCATCAAGCCAAAACAGCTCAGAGGCACACACACACACATTTCAGTCGAAGTGCGTTCGCTTCTCTTGGCTTCGATATATGTGTACATAACGCGTTTTACTACGCACATTTATAAATTCAAACCCAAACTCTCGTTTTGCATGTGTGCGTGGTGCTGGTGTACTCGTACGTTCATTCGTTTGAGTGGTGCTAACGTACAATTCTCAGTGGTGCTTCTCGTTCGTTGGCCTGCTTCGTTAGCTTCTCTTCTCTCTTTCGTACATCCTCTCTAGAGTCCATACTATATACGTATGAGCTGTGAGCATTTTACGTATATATTTTCACACTTGCCGAACCGAGTGTGGCCTGTCAGTGTATGTGTGTGTGAGTGTGCTTCGAACCACCATCAGAGAACCAACCAAATTAAGAATACGTTAATCCGGAATATATCGTACGGAAAAAAACATGTTTTCGTTGTATGTGTTTGTGTGCGAGCGCCAACACATCGTATGCGCAATACAAACGAAGCAATGTATAATGTGTCTACACGGGTACAAGCCAATTTCAAGCGACGCCGTTCAAAGTAACTGAAAACTGGTGAATACAGAAAGAAAAAAAAATCGAAGAAAAAGACATATACATATACGCACACACACCGAGAAAATTCAAACTGAACATCGTAAAATTCATCTGATAACCGTCAAGTTTTCTCATCATAAAAATGCATTCGCAACGGCGACAACGGAATTACGCTGAAAGAAAAATTATGCTTTTGGAAAATCAGATTAAAGGCGATTCACATTCAGCTGATCCTCATCAACACATTTTTATTGATGATTCGTAATTCTTTTTATGCGTTTTGCTCAAGAAACGGTCATGTTTTCATTCACCAAGCCCTGAAGAAACGTTGCCAGAATTTTTAATCATCACAGAAATAAGGTGTGTGTGTACATGAGCAGCACTTTTTCTCTCTTTCGCTTTGTCTTTCTGTTCAATATTTACCTTCCGTTCATAGCAGCCACCAAGTATAAATAATATACTTTATGCAGATTAGCCGCAACAATACGAAAAATATGAGCACACTTAATAATGTCTAATGACTTAAAACTTTTTTTTTTTGAATGACAGGCGATTGCATATGAAAGTCATATCTCAAACTTTTCTGACATACATGATTGAAGTCTGTGAAATAATTGTGAAGAGAATGAACAAAAAAATCGAAGAGCTCCGTGTTCCAACACGTCATTCTGCCCAACCAATTGATTTCTGTCAATAAAACAACGCCATAGAAATAAAAGCGCGTCATTCTTGCATCTTCGAAGCTCTTTCGTTTACTAGTAATACGCAAACGGTAAAAGTCGCATTAAAATTATTCGAAAAGAATGCAATTGAAAATGTGTGCAGTTAACTGCGAAACAAATTTCTGGTACACAGGAACAGGAATGTAGAAATATTCATTAAACATTCGAAAAAAAATAAAAATAAAAAATAAACTGTACACACAGCAGTAGCAGTAGCAGCAGCACCAACAACATTCAATCGAGATGCCTTTCTCTTTGCAAATGCATTGGTGCATACGTGCCAACGGTTCTTTTTTCGTGTGTACACGTACGAAAAAAAAAATTTATTTATTCATTTACAACAAGCACACGACAAGTTCGATGCGCTACTTTGTAGACGCGATGTTTGTTTTTGCGTGTGAACTTCAGAAAATCTTGTTCCTTCTTCATCGTCTTGAAAATCAATATACAATTTACCAAATACATTTCGGTTGTGTTTGTTGTTTTTTTTCGGGATGTTTTAAAAACCATTTGAAATTGACTATTCATTTGGCTGTAATGTATGTGGTTGTGAAGACATAAAATAGCACCCAATCAATATGAATGCGGGCACTCATGGTCATGAAGGGAATTCACATGCATCGAACTCTTCGACTCACTTCTGCACACAGGGAGAGCAAGATAATCGTGCAATACAGCAAGCAGAGAGAGAAAAAAACACAACACCAGAAGCTGCATACAAACACAGTTTTGTGAGCGTACAGCTAAAACATTTTCAGTTTAGTTCACTTTTTACCCGGACGGGCAAGAGAACGCGCGCGGTCACAACGACACTCGAATGATATTTCGCTCAGTCGAGCGAGCGAATTTTATTCTTTTTCTTCCTTTCTCGCTCTTTCTCTCTCTTGTTTTTTGCATCAACCGTGACACTAACACATACACACATATGCTTGGGCAAAATGGTGCAGCGAATTCGCAATCTTGAGAAAAGAGCACGAGCAAAAAGTACTCACACCGAACCAAACTATACAGCGGCATCCATTTTATATGCATGCGGTATCTCGATGGCTCTTTCCAGCGAGCCGACCAGATCGCGAGAGAGAAATTGCACGAAAAATTTCGCATTTAACATTCATCGCATTTTTGCTGGAATTGCTGTCGTTTTTCTGCTGATGCAATGACACCAGTACCAACAACTATTGCTCCGCACAGACTCTTTGATTGATTGCACGCCTCTTTGGCATACATCAATTTAATTTTTTTTTATTCTTGTTGTTGCTAGTTTTTCATTCTTCTCGAAAAGAATTAATCATTCAAAGAAATCAACAAGTGACAGGAACAAGAATACAAAATTCAAACGCAACAACCGAAACCACAATCAAAAGACATTCGGCTTGGTCGTCGTTGTCGAAATAAAATTCGAATGCGAGACAAACTATAATAAAACAAAGAGCCAAAAACGCACTGAATGGAACAGTTGAACGACGAATAAATTCAATAGCACCGCAATAAGCAGATGCTCTCTTTCTCTCTCTGTCTCTCTAGGTCTCGGCATACGCGTATGTTTCTGAGCAAAGAGTTGGGCCAGTCGCCCGGAGAAAATAAAATAAATAGAGTCAACCAAACTGAATATGATAATTAATAAATATTTATTTTAACAGTTCATTAATATTTATTCTACTATTTTTACTCAAACGTTCAATTGTTTTGTTCGTTCTTGTTGTCATCGTCGTCATTGTTGCCCGCAGTATTTTGCTTATAGTCAGCTTAGTGAGCCCATTTCAGGCATGTGTTTCCGTTCTTTGCACCGCCTTTTGGCATTTCTATCGAAACGACTTTCAAGCTGGCGTAAGTGACATCGGAATAACCGATAACGGGGCGAAAATTGAACAGAAAAAAAAATTGTGCAAAGGAACTAGAATATTATGTGCAAAACAACGACCGTATTTATTTTCTGCTATCTAAACACACATGTTTTAGACCAAAGTTCAATTCGTCCAATGTATGACGTAACGAATCCATCAAATAAATCATGCAAACGAACCACCCAAATTGCATGAAAT